GATAATCTCTACTCTTTCTTTCATCATTCTTATCATTCTCCTAAGAGATATCAGAATAGTCGAAATAATGATAATATAATTTTATGATATTAATTTCTTCTCTCTCCTTTCATTTAAGTAAATATTTCAACTATTGCTTTTATTATTATTATAAATATTACTATCATTATTATTATTGTTGTTCTTGTTATTGTTATCACTATTATCATTATACGATCGTCAACGTTATTTATCACTGTTTTCCATTTTATTGATAATTTACTCGAGTAATTTTAAATTTCATGAAAACGATATGGAAGCAAAGCTTTCTTCTTTTATTTATTCAAAACGATTAAGCAAAGAAATTGAAAATTAAAAGAAATAAAATTTGAATTTCAATCTTTCATTATCTTTCTCATATGAAGAAGGAAAGGGAAAAAGGCTCTCAAAATTCGTCGAATTTCATTCAGCTGGTTTTTTTGTTTTAAATCCATTACTTTGTTTCTTCGTCCTCTTCCAATCATTTTTGTTTTGGAATTTTATTATCAGTCAAGCATTCTTCAATTATTTTCTCTCTCTCTCTCTCTCTTATTTCCTCTTTGTCTAAATGAAGAGAGAGAGAGAGAGAGAGAAAGGAAGGTGCCTAAACAAAAAAAAATTGAGAGTAAAACCAAATTTTTACATTCCTCAAAATGATTCATTTAAATATGGCTATAGGCAGTCGCATACATTATGTGAGGCACATTGAAACATTACCTCTCGTTAGCTTTTCAAAGAGTTGAAAAAATGTATGAAGGGAGTGGAATAGGAGCTCTCGGGAAGTATAATTTCGTTCATTCACTGAATCACTAAACTATTCCAAAAATCAGGCTAGAAAAGAACTATGAATTACTGTTATCATTCCCGATGAAACAAACTTGCTATCTGATTCGTCGATTACATCTAGCGAAGACTGTTTTTGGAAATCCCAATTTTTTTCTAACATTTTCCCGAATTTTCAAATTATATCAGAGTTAGCAAAAAAGTTTTGAAAATAAGAAATGATAGAAATTCGTTTCGTAAATCTCGAATACTCGATATGCATGCAATTCATCCACCCGTATCTTTCTGTTTGTTACGCCATGCTGCAGGATGTTGTATATTTTCAATTTATGCGTTGTTCCAAATATCACATCTGAAATTTATATATTTTCATTTTCACTTTTTATATATGTTTCTGTTAGATACAAATTTATTGTTAAATTTACCAAAATATCTTCAATGCCAAAAAATAATCTTTAAGCGAAAGAAAAGAATTATTGTGCAATATCGATGGTATTTGACAAGGTATGATTATCATATCATATAAATCAACTCTTATCATATCCATTGCGAAATGTGAAAGCTCTTTTTTTTTGTTCAGTTAAAATTAGATGAATTTTTGTATTATCATTATCAAATCGAAAATTCTGCGACATTAAGCATTAAATTGATTGCGACAAATGAAATAGACTGACTTCATTTACTCTTTTGTAAAATGTAATTTGTAATTTGTTTTCTTTCCATCTTCAAAACTTATATGATGAATCATTTTTGATAAGGTAATTTAATTAATTAATAAGAGAATAAAAAAAAAGAATTAATTACCGAGGTATGTTAGTTAACATATCGAAAAGAGTAAATAAAAGATGCCTTTCTGGAATAATATTTGTGATTCATTATTTTTAATCCTTTCTTCATATTTAACATTCTTCATATTCTATTTAATTATATGAAATTAAATTTAATTTTAATCAATTCATGAATTCAAAAAGAATCTTCTTTTTCAAAGCACTAAGATTTATTTCGAATTATTATCGATTAAATTTGGAATAACTGATTAATTGATCCACTAATTGATAATATATTTTGCAAAAAACGTAACTTTTCCGTACTAATTATTATGAATTGTTTAATGTATAATTAATTCGATCAATAATTGTTGTTATTTTCATCATAATAAATAAACTTCCCCGTTTTAAAAATCTTTTGCTTATTTATCGTTTTCAATTTTTATTTTAACCTATTTTTAATGACTTTTTAAATATTTTCTCATTTCTTTTTCAATATTATTTCTTCAACAAAAAGATCGCTTGAAAAAGTTTTCTTTTTAAATTTAAACTTTTACATTTCTGTTTTTTTTTTCATCTTCCGATAAGTATAATTTTAATTTGGAAATTAAAATAATACTTTTATCATTTCTTCTTGTTTTCTAACTTAAACTCAGAAAATATTTTGTTATCAATGATATGAAATGGATTTTATAATAATATTCTTGTTTTTCTCTTTTTACCTCCTCTCTCATTCTCTTTCTCTTCCTTTCTTCATCTCTTTTCCTTCTTCTCTCTCTCTCTCTCTCTCTCTCCCTCTCTCATATCTATTGTAAATGTAACTGAGGGAAAGTTGTGATGATAAACAAGAGAAGCTTTTCGATTTAATGATTCATCCATTTCTTCTTCAATGAAATGATTGTTTCTTTTTTTTTTTTTTAAATTCTTTTGCTTCATCATTTTGTTAACTGGCAGCAATAAACCCGCCTTCCCGCATCGCTCGGTTTTCCTCGGCTTTTCCTTCATCCTTTCATTGATTTATAGCGATAGACAGAGAAGAGTGATAAGAGGAGGAGGAAGAGGCATTCCGTCAATTCAGGGTCGATCCTATGCCACATTATTCATCCCGCTGTGTCATCAACGCGCTCCCTCTACCTCTGAAATGTACCAATATTTTTCCTTCTTTTTTTTTTACCATTCCATTCAGCAAAAATTTACACATACACACACATACACACACACACACATACACACATACACACACACACATACACACACACAACATACATATACATGTATATATTATACATACACATAGTTTCAGGTAAATTTTATCTGCAAAGTAATATCCTATAAATTTGTTATACAAAATTATTGTTTCAGAAAAAATAGAAAAACTTTAAAAAACTGTCTATCATCCCTCTTATCACTTTTCCCTCTCTTTATTTCCCTACCTCTCATCTGTTTCGTTATCTTTGTCTTCTAATCTTTATCTTTCATTTATTGTTTGATCATTTTTTCACATTCTGCCGTTTATAATCTTTTTAATTTTTATTTTTAATTATTAAATTTTTTATTTTCAGAAAATAGGTTTGTTATCAGAAAATGTAAAATAGTCTGAAATATGCATACTATTTTATAATATTGTTTCATTTATGAGTAATATAATGGATATCTCTATCTATCTATCTGTATATATAGAGAGATAGATAGATATAGATATAGATATAGATATATATACTAATAAGACATATATCTGTTTACATAACAAAGAGTTAAGATAAGGAAGTTAAGTGGCAAAAGGAAATGATCAACTTTGGGAAGATAAAATGATAAGCTTATTGATCTATGTTATGAGTGTAATATATTGATCTTATTTTTGGGGATACTTTTCTCAATGAGCCATGCATATTTCTTCGACTTCATAACATTTCTGTTAGGTTTTATCTTAATCTGTCTTTTTTTTTTCCTCTCTCGATTTCAACAATATAAATCTATCATCAATTAATTTTTTTATTGAGATAATATTTTAGCTTATTGATTAAGATATTTAGTTAAATATTTAGCTTATTGATTTTGAAATGATTGCTGATATTTATTTTGGTGATGTTGAATACATGTTTTTATGTAAATTTCTTGATAAATAATTTCTAATCACCCGATCATTCTATTTCAAACAATTCATCCTTTTTTTTTGGAGAGAAGGAAGAGTGGGAGCTATTGATAGTACATTTTCTTCATTTAAATTAACTGAGGTCTTCAAACTATTTAAAATTTAAATCGTCATACGAAAAGCGCCATCTGGACTAATCTACGCCTCACGTTTATCTTCCTAATCGACGTAGGATTTTTATGTTTCACAGAGAGTCTGTGATTTTCCGACGTCATGGGAGTAACCTTGTCTCGCTGTTTGATTAAGTCAAGGGCATTACGGTAGGCAATTATTTCGAGTCCTTTTAGCTGTACTTTCCTGAGTTTTCCACTAGTGGGGTATTAATAATCGGTAACCACTCTGATTTGGTTATATGTGGGATGGTTTATCTTTAGTTGGACGGTGTGAAAGTGGGCTATACCGATCGATAGTTGTACCTCAACAAGCGACCACTGCAATGAAACGCGTAGTGATGGATCCTGTCGATCGATAGTTATCTCAGCATCTGGCGGTTTAAGTGGTCGGTTTGCCCACCTGAATATTCAAAAATTCTCGAAATTTAAAGTGACTTTCGTTTCTCAATTTGAAATTAGCATATTTAAATTCAGTTTGGATTTTTTTAACTCGGGCTTTTATTAAAATTTTTGCTTTTATTCTTTTGCTAGGATACGGAGGGATAAGGTCGAAAACTTCACATTGCTTGAGAAAACGCAGCGTTTTAATCAGCCTATATAATTGATATCCTGCTGATAGCCAGCAAGTGAGTTAATGCAGTTTGCGCCACTTAGTATCATCGTAGTTCACCTCTTTGAATAGTTCATTCAACATTGTTTCTCATTCTGACTATATTGTTCAGAGGTCGTGGCGCATCTTCCAATTGTCATTCTCTGTCTTTCGTTTGTTGTGATTATCCCCAATTTTTCGCCATTTGCCATCGCACTTGGGCAAATATCAAATTCGTAAATTATCATTTAATGAATGTAAAATTAGTTGGATTGGGAAATGTACTGCTGGTTCGGAATTTTTCAGCACATCGCAAGCACGTAACATTCTGTACTCTTTGTTTATGTTATCATGAATACAGATGAAGCATGCAGTATCACATTGTAACCCAATAATATAAGCAAATTTTGAATGTCAGAACAGCATTATATACTTAAAAATCGGATTAGGTTAGGTTAATATTAGTTATTCTGTGATATCTATCGAAGTTTAATTTTCAAAATCATTGTACTGTAGGATGTTACGTTGAATAACATCGGTATTTTTTTCCTGCGGAAAATGTTTTTCGATTGCAGATCATGCAAGCTTTATATCAGTTATCTGCCAATGCAGCGCCACAAGCGTTCCAAAGTCCTGGACAGCCACCTGTTAATCTTGCAGCCATGAAACAATTCATGCAAGCCGGCGTTTCTCCCGTACTTTTACAGCAAATACAAGTAGCTCAACAACAGCAATTTGCCGCAGCTTCTGCAGGTAACCATATATTTGTAAGGTACTAAAAGGTTTTTTAAAAACAAGTTTCCGAAATTGTTTCGATGGTTTTTGATTAGGAAATAATGATTGAGCATAGTTTCACGGTGGAGGCGTGGAAGTTTTGCTTAAATTGTAGGCAATTTACTGATGGGCGAAATAGTGTAGTTGACGTGATTAATTTGGCTTAATTTTTGTATACTTACACTCCTTATCAGTTTAAGTAATTTTTTATATTTGAGCAAAATGACCGAATTAAATACGTATAAAAACTGCACTTTGTAAAGGAAAAATAACTAATATCAGTTTATCCGTCTCTATTCACAAGTTGCATAGCAAAACATTACTGTAAATTTCCTGGAAATATGCTATACTTAAGATGATTTACTACTGAGTTGCGGAGTATGTAAGCTCAACATTTTAAGGTTTGATTTGAAGGTGGATATATGTAGTATTTTATTTTTTTCGGTATTTAATATTTTTCAAAGGAGGAAAAAAAAACGTCATTAAGCAATAGTTGTGAGAGTATCTATCGTTCGTATTTTGCGGATCAAAACTGTAACTTGAGGTTCCCAATGTATCTTCCAGATGACTCCCAGAATGCTCCAAATTGATCTCTTATCTCGGAATACTGAGCAATCAGTATCCACAAGTAGTTAATGTTACGTCTAATGAGAAATTACCTGAAAGTACCACAGTGACGAAGCGATGATAGTAAATATCTTCAAACTGCAGTTGTGGTCATACGCTAATCCATCATTTCATCTTTCTTTTTCCAACCAAATATTTGTAATAAAAAAAAATTGATTTGCAGCAGCTGCAATGCATCAGTCGGGTAGTTTGCTTACAGCGCCAGTAGTTGGTACAGTTGTTTCAAATGCGGAAGGCGAGAAACAGGATGAGAAATTAGCACGAGAGCAGTATGATCTGCAAGTGCAAATGCAGATGGCTGCAGTTGCAGGGATTGGCCCACAGATGCCACCATCTTCTACAGTTTGTTGAAATTTTATAAGCTTTAACATATGTTAAATAAACAAAGCTGTATGTAAATTCTGCTGAAACACAAACTTATCCAAAATCTATATATGTGCAAAATGGACCCATAGTCTTTCGCTTCTGAGTATTCAAATTTTTTTAGGTTCACTCGCAACAGGCTGCGCCTAATGCTTTGACGACACCGGACCCATCAACATCGTCAAACTCCGTCGATAGCGCACCCAAACGATTGCATGTGTCGAACATACCGTTCCGATTTCGTGATCCTGATTTAAGAGCAATGTTTGAGAAATATGGGCCTGTAACTGATGTTGAAATAATATTTAATGAACGTGGTAGTAAGGTAATTGTGGTCTTTCTTGAACAAATTTTTATTATATTGATTAATGGAGAAAGACAGGTGACGCTTGTCTGATTAGTTAATATGGGCTTTTTTTCCTATGTGCGTAAGATTTTTGGGTGAAGCAAGCTTTTTTTATTTAAATCAACTATACAAATTCTGAAATGTGAGTTCTGCTTCTAATTTCTCTGGTTTTCCAGGGATTTGGTTTTGTGACTATGGAGAAATCAGCAGATGCGGAGAAAGCTAGACAAGAATTGCATGGTTCTTCCGTTGAGGGTCGCAAAATTGAGGTTTGTTTGTTTGTCATGTACCAAACCGAGCCATTAAAAAATCGGCTTGTGGTTATTCTGTCTTGGTTGTTACGGAACATGTAGTCTGCCGGATATGATGCTATTGCTGATCTATCTCCCTAGTGTATCCTGTAAAACTTGCCTGTTACGAAGTTCCAGCTTCTAGAATATGTTCTTCTACCTGAGCATGAACTTCCCTTCACTCTTTCATATTACAAACTTTTCTCAAGTCTGGCTCTTAGGTCAAGGTATTTTATATATTTTACTACTTTTTCCGTCATTTTAGGTTGTTGTCATGGGTGCAGATAGTTATGAAATTCCCTTATCTATGAAAAGCCATTTTTTTAAATGTTTTTGGTCTCAGAATACTTTTTTTTTGAGGTCTTTTAGTCCCTCTCAAAACAACCTACAGCAAAGCGTAATCATTCTTAAACCCTTTGAGTTCGTAGAAGGACCAGATCCTAGAGATGCCTTATGAGCACTGGAGTACTAAAGTGCTGTGTAGGAAGTGGGTGTCATATTTTTTTATTATTGCCATGTAGACCTTATTTTTCCTAAAATTGATTTTTGTGTAAAAACATTTTTAGCTGGTTCCCAACACTTCTTCCTGTTAGGTTTTCTAGTTATATCTGTGAAATCTATACGTAACTTAGAAGTGATGTATGGAAATGATGGTATCTAGAATAAGATAACGAAAGGAAAGGTGAGAGGCGTAATGAATTTTTCTCTCAAATAGCTCTTCACCTGAGTTGTCTAAAATCTGAGGTATTCAAATCTGGGATGGCTTATTCAGCGAGAAGGCTGGAGACCTGGTGTTGAAAAACCGAGATATTCGTAATTTGGGATATCCCAACCAATAAAAGAAAGCAGCTGTGATGGTGAATGCACTTGTTTAGTTCCATTCTTTGAATCGAAACAATGTTTTCTATTGAGCATGACGCTTAATAATTGTTATTGAAAATTCACCGTAGGGGGCGCACATACGTTTTTGGGATCGTCTAATTGTGTTTGCTTTACACAGAGAATTTGCATCCTACTGCATTTCTGTATTTTAATTTATTTTTTTTAAACGGACTATTACTAATCCTTGCGCGCTCGGATCTTTTATATTTGAAGTTTCCTGATCCTTTGCATGGCTGCCCATTGAAGTGTGGAGAAATGAAACAATATATATATATAAATATATATATATATATAAATATATATATGCTGTATCTTAAAATAAAAAGACAGCGCTATTATATATATATTATAAAGCGACGTATGCCTGTTGCTTCCACTTCACCCCGGTTTGCTAACGTTACCAAATTATTCCAGCAAGCTTTTTTCCCCATCATGATATTGGGCGACTTTTATGTTCCGTTATTTGTCGGATATATACGTCCGTTTACTCTAAACGTTTACATTTGACCAAGGTTCTCTAAATTTTTTAAAATCTCTCAAATTTTCGATGGGGAAATATGTTTTTCTTATTTTTTTTTATAAACGCATATTCTTAGATCTGTTGATATTTGGCAGATGTTTCTTTTGCGGTGCCTACTTTTTTTCTTCATCGTACGTTTCGCTGGCATGTTTCTCACAAGCAAAAACAAAAAAAAAATAAATTGAAAAGAATAAGACTGTGGAAGTTATTCCGGACGACTGCCTAATAGTCGCCTTTTTTGAGGTGAATTGCGCCACTGCCCGTATACACACCAAGAAGCCGAAAGTCGCACCCGGTGAGCCGAAATCTTTATCTTATTTTCAAAACAAAAAGAGTGAGAGTGAGAAAGTGACGTTACCTATTTCCTAATTTTAAATTTTTTTTGAAGAATTTGTATTGTTTCTTTTTTTTTTCGGTGTTCTTTAAAATTCCATGCATAATCTGCATTTTTCTATCAAAAAATAGGAAAAATTGCATGGAGTAAAATTTGGTTTGCGTAACTAATTAATTTTGTCAATTAGTTATGTACGTGAAATTTAGCGAAAATTAATTATGCAAATTGTTTTGCATGTAAAATGATCGACTGCACGTTTTAAAAAAGTATTGAGAAATGAAAGAAAGGTGCAGATTTTGTAACAGCCATCTGGCTCCGTGCTTTTTTTCATTGCATGCATTTGAACTTTTTACGCGTTGTTGCTTCAAATAATCTTATTGAAATTCTGCATATACTTGTCTAAAAAAGTGAGGGCAGCTATGTCTGTTAGTATGTTTTTTCATCATAACTATTAGTATCACAATTATCATTATTTATTACTATCATTATTATTATTAGTGTTATTTTCAATATTAATGTTATTTTTTTTTTATTATTGCTATCATTATTATCCGTTTTAACGTGCAAGCAAACTGCACGAGCAGCGCGCATTTTGAGTTAAGGTATAGAAGTTTAAAGTATAAATCTAGCATAAAAAAAGGTATTGAATGTTTTGCGGTTTCGTCTATTTATAGTGCTCATTTTCACGCGCTGCACTTGTGGCGCCTGCGCATGTTTTGTCAAATTACGCTGAAAGTTTTTATGGTATATGCTCTCACATTTTACTGTGCATGAATAGTTTGCAAAATGTTTTTTCCTTTTTCCCGTGTTTTCGTTTTTGTATCCAAGAAATTTCATATATGGAATTTAAGCGAAATTTCAATTTATACATTAAAAAAAATAATATGGAAGGGAAAAGAACATTACTTGTGGAACAAAAGAGGCTTCAGAGAAGAGGAAAGAAGAAAGAACGCAGGAAAAGAAGTAGTGAGGAGATGTAAAGAAAGAATCAGAACGGATTACGTAAATAGTTTTCGGCGCTTACAGTTTGCTGCTCTTAACTTCGATATATTTTACTATTATTTTTAATTATCAGTTATTATTATAGGTTTTCGAACTACTTCGTTCTCAATTGTTTTTTTTTTTGGAGCGAAAAGTATGATCATGTGTATAAATTTATCCAGATTGTATGCATTTTTCCAGGAATGGTGGATGCTAGTTTGGCGGTTGCTGCATTGCAGGGTGCCGCACTTCAACAAGCAGCTGCAGCAAATCGTGCATTATACCTACGGAATCCTCTAGCACAAGCATTAGCGGTTCGGAATTTACAAAACCTTAATATGCAAAATCAGCTTGCTGCACTTGGACAGCCACAGCAGTTGAATTTTATTACACCAGCCCTCGCAGCTCAGATGCAAAGTCAGGGTCTCTTATTGGGTGCTGCACAGTTGCCTCAAACAAATACTCAACCACTGCAGCAATCTTACGATACCGCGACTTTGCTAACTGAGCAAGCACGTTTGCAGCTTGTTGCTGCGCAGGGTATGTTATTTTTACTCTGAGAAAATTATACAAAAGAATGAATGATTCTATTCAGAGGTGTGCTGACTGGCTCTTGGCGAAGTTAAATTTAAATGAATTTCAACTTTCTTTGAATTAATTTTTATGGAAATTTCATTGTTCCTGATTTTCACCTTCTGCTATCTAATCATTCATTTGACAATGTAAATTTATTTGTATATAAATTTTTACTTATCTTTTTCAAACAGCAAATCCAGCTTTAATGGCGGCAGCAGCAGCAGCAGCAGCGCGTAATGCTGCGGCAAATGCACCTGGTACTACGTCCATTGGTGAACATTATCTTGGTCAAGCATTAACAGCAGCATTGCCAGGCTATCCGGCTATGGCAGCAGCTACGTATCGCACGCTGAATCGTTTTGCACCGTACTAAAATTTCACTCTTAGCTGAAATTAATTGCAATTTTTAAAATGAAATTTGCGCAATGCAATGCTCTGATGAGTTAATATGTTCTGTATTTTTGTTATAATACCTAATGCTTTCATCATTTTTTCCAAAATGAATCAGCAAGACTGATTTTTATTTCAATGCTCTTCCTTGTGTATCAGCTGTGGATTACTGTGTCAATTTTAATTCAAATTTCGTTTTATTGAATATTTTCCATTGCGTGTGTTGGAAGCTTTTTCTTTTTTCCTTGCTTGACATTTTTGTGGAATTTGATGTGACCGCGAAAAAGGAAAATTGTTTTGTGAAACATTTAGCTAGAATGTTTTGACGCAATTAGATAGATGAGCAGCCCTTATTTAGTTGAATGTTTGAAATTAGAAATTTAAAGTTTTAAACTGAGCTAGTTTCAATATTTGTTTCTGAATTCTTTTTTACTCTTAAGAATGATGCTTAAGCATCACGAAAGTCAGTAAGGTGGTTGTTAGCTGAAAGTGATTAGAATATTAGGCTGACGATCTATGAAGCTTAGTTCAAGGAAGTGTTCACTGCACTTCAAACAACAGCAGCGGTAACATTTAGTTCGACTGAAGTATGTATGTATGTATGTGTGCGAATATATTCCGACTGTCGGGGATAGGGAAAAGTGAAGTAATCATTTACCCTAGTTTGTTATCTGAAAGTCTCAGCTAAGGTACTGCTTTAGAAAAACTTCAACCCTTTTTGCATTCGTAACAAAGTACTGCGAGCTTTTTTCGTCATACTTTTTCTCTTTTTTTTTGACCCATCCATGGAATCCTTTCATTTTTCTCTCAGTGCAATTGTGTGAATCATGTATCTATTAAATATGCTTGTAGATGGATAATTTTAAAGGTACTGCTTTGCGTTTTCTGGGATTTACATATGAAATTTTTGTACAAGTCTATGTGGACTTATATATATATGGAATTTACGGAATTCATTATCCATAATATTTGCCCGGGAATGATGATCATCTGAAATTATCTTTCTCTGTGTCATTTTCATTGTTGTTCATGGCAATTTTATTATTATTCGTATTACCAATAATGGTTACAGACCTAAAGCTTTAGCAGCGCATTTCTGATACGCTTGGAAAAACCAATGAACCTTTTTTTTTTTGTTAACGTTTTCTTTTATGGTATCTCTTCTTGCATACGGTTTTTCTTTCATTGTTTTTCTCCCCCGTTGATTTGTTTTGAAATAATATCCGATATTATCATTTAATCATACATACTGTCTATCTATCAATCATTTCTCCCAAAATTTGTCACCCTTTTTAATATATACTACGTTTTATTTTTCTGAATCTTTTTTCTCGTTTATTTTGCTACTTTGCATAATTTGTCAATGTTGCTATATTGAAAAATGCTTTAATCTTTTTTTTCATTTTCTGGATTAGGGTTTTCCCTTATGGATTTTATTAAATTTTAATATATAATGATGTCCTAATGATATCCCTTTGGCTCACCAATACTTAAGTTTTTCATTCTGATCCTTTTTTTTTTCGCTGCAGTTTTTGCTGCAACTTTGCGATGAACAGCTTTTTGTTTTTACAAAAATCTAATGAGTTAATCCAAGTGAAATGTTAACTCATTAGATTTCATGAAAGTTTGTGGTTGAGGAATAGAGAAGAAACGGTATGCTGATGAAAATGCATCTCAGTACGGACTACTCTGGATTCACTGCTATAATTAGATTTAGAAATTTGAGGAGTTCGAAGTTCAGACACTGTTTGATTGAAGATGGAAAGTTCTAACTCTCTAGAGAAGAATTTAATGGTAAAAATCCCCAGCCTGAACAATTGTTCCTACTACCTATAACGGTTGATTCGGAAAGCACTGTTCCTATTGAGAAAAGTGAATTCTCGCAAATAGCCAATTTGATGAAGCGACAGGGTATGTGGTAGTCATATTGCAAATACGTTTCGATCCGGCTCATCTCCTGTCGAAATACATACAGTAGCTTCTTCATTCAAGATGCAGGAAATACCGTTCCGTCCATGATCACTAGTCAAATAAATGGCTTGGTGAAATCAAAATCTTAGTTTCCCTTGGACTGGAACGTGCTATACCCCATAACAACGATGGGATTTTAGCATTTTTGAGACATCCATCCTGCGTTTTTACATCCATCCTGAACAGGCACTGAGTGCAATAATTAGGCCGCAAAATTGCTTCGACACATCGAGAGTAACTGCGCAAGTGACTTGTGTAAATATAGACCTATTGCTCGTCCTATCTGTGTGCAACATCGAAGTTGCCCAGCTTCAAATTTTTATTCGTTGGTCAAAATTTCTGCTCGAAGCATTCTGGTTTGAAAAAAAAGTCGAAGTTGTTGGAGGATGAAATTTTAGAGAAACATTTTTGCAAGTGCAGTGTGAATATGTCAGCCACTGAAAAATCGTTGGAAAACGAGATGACTAGAATTGGAATACCTATAGATAAAAATTTCTAAAGGAATCACTATTGTACCACGGGGATACGAGCGAACAACTTCGCCGGTGCATACCTGCCCGATGTAACATAATTCAACATCAGGGACAAATCGGGGGTGGAATTTCGTGAAGACCTAAATTCAACCTTTGGAAATGCGCAAATCTTTTGATCAAAACTTCACGGAAAGTACACTAATACGAATAGAACACTCTGGAATATACAATCCCACACATACCTGGAATAAGAATCCAGGAAAGCGATATACAAATCAAAATTTGTTAACAGTCTCAAGGTTGATAATAGGTCATGAGATAAATCGTGTTTACAATAAAGTATGTTGTACACGAAATACAGCAAGACATAATCACCGAGACAGACGAGAGAGGGAAAAGGGAAATTCCAAATACAGGTCAGGAAGACGAATGACATTACGGGGTACAAGTTGTACATGCAAGGACATTTTACAATTGTTTAGCAATGGTATCGTTAACTTCAGCTGTACTACCTACCCCGGAAAAACTTTATCAGCACCGATAATCTTCATGAAGGGTGCAGTAGAGTAGTGGTAGTAATCTCATACCAATATTCACCTTGAAACGATCGATTGTGAAATGAATGCCAGCACAAAATAGCAACTGTAAACAATCAATATATGTAAACTATAAACAATCAATAATGTATACACAAAAGATACGTACAACAAATGACATATATTTGACGAAAAGGATATCAGAAATATACTCGCTTCGCATCAGCTACTGATGATTCCACCGGACAATACGGACACTTCAAACGAATATGACTGAAAGCATTGGATGGAGCCAAATTGGTCGGTGCAACGAAACGTCCTGTTTGCGCTAATTTATGAAGTGCTTCTCGGGAAATTACATGACCACACGTGAGACGCATTGGAGGATTTTGTTCCGTACACTGTGCCTGCAAATACAAACAACAAGGGTATAAATTGGATTAACTACGAGAAAATTTTGTAAATTCCAAGCATCCAAAGAATGTAAAAACGCTGTGGAATAGAAGTAATTTCACTAACGGGATGTAAAGTTCTTCCTGTTGGACAAAAAAAAAAAACCTTAAGAATTGGGCAAGCGAACACGGAATGTGTAGCATTTGGCAGATCCACTTCGATCGGTAGTTCATCACCTTGAAATAGCGACTCCAATGATCGATTCACCATTAGCTGACGAAGACTAATGAGTGATGGTACCATTTTAATGCCAAGCTCAAGACTGAAGTAAACACAAAAATAGTATCCCATTTACTCGAATTTCAAAAACAAATGGATAAATCCAATAATCTATGGTTAAGAACCAAACTTTTCACATGTTGACGTTGTAACGAAAACATTAATGTGCTTTGGAAAATTAAAAAAGATCAAGTGTGGGAGTAGGGTGTACGTATAATTATAGTCTGACATCCGAGTTTGAATAATATCAGTGATTCTGAAATGATCCTACACTTAATATTTCCAAGAGATTATTCAAAAAATTGCAAGTGGCTATGGTGTCAGGCTTATCGTCAGCTAAAATACACACATATGATAAAAGATTTACATACATTTGAGTGAGATAATTTTCTGATCGTGACATAACTCGGGCAAGCCGCAATTCGAGTTGCTGCCAAACGACAGGATTGAAAAGATCGGGATAACGCGTCTTGCGATCTTTAGCGACAACTGCCCACAGCAACTGCATCATCTCTTCCGGATTTTTTGAAAGCTGGCGACTGTATTGCAAGGCCCCCATAGTTTCTCCTGAAATTGTGAATAATTACTCCAACTACAATTATTCGTTGCTCATTCCAAAGCTGTAACCGCATCGTACCATCTTCCAAAAGTTTGACGAAATGTTGTTTCTGAAGATCATAAATCAATTGTTCATCTCGAGAAGCATTTTGCTTGAGCCACTGGAGCGCAGGATTAATGTCTCTTTTCTGGAACGCTTCCATCAGATGCCGGATATCATCCACATTGAATTCCAGACCTTCCGATGCTGGTAATTGTGCCTCCTAAAACACTCCTAATTCTACGCTCGCCATCCTGACTTAGCTTCCTTTAATAATGAATGACTGTTGAAACTAGATTACTTTCGTCAGAATGTCAGCAACATCGAATTTTCCGGTACTCGTCAAATGATTGGTAATGAGAGCATTCACTCTCCCATGCAATCTTGGATCTGTATCAATATTCTTATCAATTTTCGTTAAAGAACTAAGATCGGTGACGAAATATCTGTCGATAGCTCTGCCAATTTTCGATAACATTTGATGGGTACTCCGGTGTTGATGCGCCATCTCAAATAAAACGGAACTTTTACTGTAGAACATTTTTAAAAGGAATTTGCTTCCGGTTCAAATTTCGTAGGATTTTTTACAAGAGTCAAAAAAAACTCCGGAAGAAAATACTTTCATGAACTTACGCAATATTAATTTTTCCCATATCTGGAAATGGATCTATAGCTGCCAATAAAGAAAAAAGGCTAATCCTCCACTTATATACCTCCTGCAACATGTCGCCCAGTTTTTCCATAGCTTGTGCAAGTACTACTTCTGCAGTTACCGACAATTCCGCTTCTGGATCGTCGTCAATCAACAATTCGTTATAAACACGACGTACTAGATCGATCTGTCGTGCTACAGCTGGTGTCCAGTGGCTTCTGAAGGATTCCAACGTTTCCAACACACGATTAACACGTCCGGCCACTATGTCCACCATTATGTCCCTTTCCTTTAAATGTTAAACGAAATACATCGGACTTCATGCCGTTTTAAAATGCTCATACGTATAATCCATCCACATATAAACCACTCAAAATTGGCAAAATTTCAATCTTGTTACCCAATAAATTTCTGACCTTCATTTGAAATAGGTGCAACGTCCCTAAAATTATTTCATTCATGATTACTTCTACGACTAAATTCACCAGGAAAAAAGAAATTAGAGTATATAGCATTTCACCAGATAAAACGTATGGTACAAAATTATGGCAAACCGAGGTTTTAAAGCCTGAAGCTATGCATGAATGGGGATGGTAGAAGGCAAATAGCTTTCACAATGATCTCAGATTCAATATGACGGCATTCTGTAGATCACGGTGAAGGCCTACTGCCCTCACCAACTTTTTCTCTTTTTTTCCACTCCCTTTCTTTGTTAACATATATCCTGATATTGTTTGACGTCTTTCAGTGGTAACAACAATTCGGCAAAAATTGATTTCTATGAAATTGCATCAGACTATCCAGGAAATGGAAATAGTCGAAATCCAAAATATATTAGATGACGCGAACTGTCGCTAGCAAGTGAAATCATCTGATGAAGGAAGACATTCATCCAGCATACAGCCAACAACAACACAGCAGCGAGAGAACGAAAACTAGAGTTGTTCAACCGATCTGATCGATTGCTAAATGTTCCTTGTCGTCTTGGCGATGGCAACTATACGAAATCATAACACTTCAGTACTACTATTCGAATGGTAATAAACTCATCGCATTTCCGTCTTCCATTTTCCAGATGACGGAACTGTGATCTGTCACTATTATTATCACTACCCAATTCCGATAACTGCTATCATTAGCATTAATACTACTAATATTCCTAATTCATTACTACTACCACTATTACGACTGGTACCTAAAAACTAGCTCACTTACTGCTCCTGCTGTAGACGTTCAGGGAAATGATGATGGCATTTTGTCGATTGCACGAAAAACTCGACACATTGGGCTATCACCCCATCGGACAACCAAACACACAACATGCAAAATGCATTACTGTGTGCCGTGCTGCTCCGACTGCTGCTGTTGCCGTTTGCTGTTGCTGCCTGATGACTTACCATCAGTACTACTGCAATACATACATACATATACATACACATACACCAAACAACGGTTGATGGAGGAAGACGAGGACGGGAAGAAGTACGGATGAACAAAATTATTGGAAGAGTTGTTTGCAAGGCGGTCCTGCTGTCGTCTACTTTACGCTCTCCTCGTCCAACTAACCCCAAATCAACATTCCCCTCCCTTTCTTTCCCTCCTCTCCCCACTTTCCTCCAACCCCTTCTCTACCATCTATTTCCTAAACTCCTACTTTCCTACAACCATAAATGATAACGAGCTAACCTTACTTATGTCCTCCTTTTGCAACTACTTTCGTTGTAAATGAATTATATTGTTACAACTATTACTGTTACTATTACTACTACTACTACTACTATTATTATTGCAGCTATATGAATATATGACTATATCTCCCATCCTCTATCCATCTCTTCATTCTCGTTAGCTATCTATAAATTTGTTTGCAATACCAAATCACATCCTACCTCTTTACTGTACTGCTTCTCCCTCTTTTTTTTCTACATATTCTGTCTATATCTATGTAATGCTCTCTCAAAACATATTAGCTACTCTTGTTCCCTTCATTAAGTGATGATACAGCTGGGGCTCTGGAAATTTCGGGAAAACGAACTCCGACAATTGATAGGAGGGGAGGGTGAAGAGAGAGAGAGAGAGAGAGAGAGAGAGAGGGGGGGAGGAGACAACGAAGAGGGGAAGTTAATTTCGAAAAAAAAAGTGCAATCAAGTCGATAAAAGATTCCGATAACTTTAGAGAGGATCAGGCTGTCAAACGCAATGAAATGTATCAACAAAACCTAAAGTCGGCTTTCTTTCTCTCTCTCTCTCTCTCGAGCTCTCTCCTAAACCCAAGCTGATGATAATATTAGTGATAAGAAAAGTAATGCTACAGCCGCTTTCTTGCTTCTATACTTCATTAGAAAAGAATGCCCTCGATTTTTAACCTCTCCATCAATACCAACGACCTTTTGCTGCTTGACTAGATACAGTGATGATGTCTCTCCTCCTTCACCTATACATTTGCATCCATACAATCAGTGTACCACCAACATTTTCAACATTACATTATTAACATTTATATACATATATATATATTCCAATTTCCTTCTATACAAGTTAACAGCTTATGAACTCTGTTCGCAAAAATTGGACAGTGAAAAGTGACGATGTCATTTACATTCCACCTTTCCATAAGTGCCTTAAACATCACTATTCTATTTTGTAGAACTCCCTCTGACCTGATCAATCAATCCCTCATTTTGAAACAAATCAAAAATACACATGGATAAGTCTGCACGAACCATTGGAAAAGAAAAAAAAGACAGTTTAGAATTAATTGTGCAGTTTTGTGGAGTGGAATTCTGCAACCACTGAAATACAACATTTTTCTGGAACTCGTTAATTTCGAAAATGGCTGATGTGAAGATGAAATCAGGTGCACATTGAAAAAACTTGAAAGAATCGAATCAAACTGGAAATGAGAACTGGCATATGAAATATATTCTTCAATCCTCCCTTATCTGATCAAAACAAAATTTTACTGAGATTCCCACATAAAAAGAACAATCAGCACATCATTCAGCAACAGACTAAAAATCATGTCATGCATAGCATTTCTGTCCACATTACAACACGGATACAAATAGATAGATAGACAGACAGACAGACAGACAAACATACATGCAGATAGATACACGCATACATAACACATATGCTTAAACATCCAGAAATGCAAGCAGATAAATTATCGGCAAGCAGCGCGCTATCAAATGTCTAATCTGATCGATCGTTTTATATGATTTTAAAAAAATTTATCATTTTTTTTATTCAAATTTTTTAACTATGATGATAATTTCGAAAGCATCAACGGAATTCATTCTTTCCAATCATTGAATAAAACAATAAATTCATTTCTTCAATAAAATATAGAAAAAATATTTTATTGATTTAAATGTAATTAATTGAATAAAATATAAAAATTTCATTTCGTCAAGAAGTTAACTTACAATTAAAAATGAAGAAGATCGAGAATTAAAACTGAATATTGTTACTTCGATGATAAATGCTCGAGAATAATGAAGATGAGAGATGGGAAAATTAAGGAAAGGATAAAAAGTAAGAGGTATTTTTGTATTTTTACCTTAGCAATGATGATACTTGTAAATAATACTATGCATCAAACATCATCGAAACTTTTAGCTCTCTAATTAAAATCTACAAAAAAACTATGCGAAATCCTTCATATTCGACTGGTAACATTTTATGCAATCAGACCTATCTTGTCACAGTAAGGTTTTCTTTCTTTTTTTTTTCATTTATTCATTTCAATTTTGCAATTCTCCATAACATTTCATTTCCAGCAGACAGTTCTCCCTTTACACTTCCCCGTTTCGATATTTGTTACGAACGGACACAGCGCAAATATGCCCGATCACAAACACAAACGCACATATATATATATAGACAGATTATATATGTATATACAGACACTAGACAAACTGTAGCGTTACACCCCATTGCAATCAGGTTGCACCAAAACGACGATGACATCACAAAGCATTCCAATGTTCCCAATTGAATGTTATTTTCAGCAGTGGTTGGAAACCTCAATATCATCTGATAAAATTAATGGTTAAATTTCAAAAAACTGTTTTAAGTCATTTTACCGTCTATAAAATACTTTGAACCCGGGGTTGAATAAAGTGGTACAGTGTAACGATAACCCCTTCTTTTCCAATCCAAAAATTCGTATACCACCGTGTTTCACATAGCTATAGGAATGCCATTTATCAAGAATACATCACAATGGAATAAATGATGATAGTACGGGTGATCTTAATTTGACAATTACAATACCACGGACATTATTGATAGAAACCCTGAATGCTTTCCCGTTCAGAAAACCCGCTCCTTTAACTTCTAATTGACCCAGACTGGAAATTAATGTGAAAGGAAAAAAACACTGATATGGTGAGATACACACAATTTACATTGCTTTTCAAAGCATTTAAATCTTCTAACATCTCCTTCACTCGTTTCTTGGAATGAACCTTTACACTCTCAAAAATGAGAAACACCATCACAATTCAACTTATCAGTGAAATAAAGTCTTAATCCTATCCAAGAATTTATACAAATGTGTGGAAACCACTTTTTTTCCAAATCAACCAAATAATCAGATCGATATAATTAGATAACCAGATCATTCGCACAAACTAAACCAGTCTTAGTCAAAATTCAGTGCCTTCAATCCAACTCTATTCTTATTTTATAAATTTGATGAAACTTTCCCTAATACATCTAATGCTTTTCATACAATCCTATCATCCTCGAAACTTTCAAGAGTTAGATCTAATATAAAGGAATCTTACAACGCAAGAATCTAACTCTTCCAACAACACCTTCACTTTTCAAGATAAAATCGTTGTCTAACATTTCCCACTTAACTCACTTGTTCACAAGATGAAACAACACTAAAGCATGATGATACAGCAATTAAATAACTAAAAAAACATATCATCCATAGATGACTCATCAGTGTATGTCACGTATTACAACAGTACCAAAAGTATTCAAGATACTGTCACAAGATACTCTCACAACTTGAGAGTATCTACCACAGGTACACTAGTATAATACGTCTAACACAAGTACACAGGTATAATACGATACTATTGTGATACAATACTACTATTAGTATATGGGGAAGATATTATGACATATGAACCTACCAAAATCTAGGGATCAAATTATCAATATCATGTCAGGATCGGTTATGTGCCTCATAACCGCCGTAAAAAAACGCAAGGTAAGCATCTTGGAAAAACTTTCAATGAGATGCCATCTGGAAAGAGGTTTCTAATGTTACATTTCTAAATGTTAAAACAAAAAAGGATTCTGCAGGTTAATGTGACCCTCCTGCTTATGCTATATCCTTAAACATTTCCACTGCATCAGAACAGTGGCCTGTTGTCTTGCTTGATAGCTGGTTGCGTAGGAGCAACCTTACACTCAATCCCTCAATGGAGCAAAACCTGCCAGATTATGTCAGTTCGTGACCCCTGATCCCCTCAATCGATGCTCTACGCAGGGTCAAACACGAAAAAAGCAAGTAATACCCCTCTTGCTTTGATCGCGTTTTGCAACAAAAGCATCCCAAGTCAATTATAATCAGAGGTGAGCTCCATCAGGCCGATGACCTCATTCTCTTGTTACAGCCACCCGAGCATTTTCATTTGAATATGTTCAGGCTTCTTCAGTCTCTAATGAAATTAGAAGCTTCAGGTAACTTTTGTTTCGATTATCCCATGGGATTGATTGATGATAGAGCCGAACAAAGTAAACATTAGTTACGACTAATCAATTGACTAAGTACAAACACACATTTAATTGCTTTATAGGAAATACTTCGGTGTGCTTCTCCAGAGAGATTAGACGTGTTTCGGATATGTCTACCGGTGGATTGGCAGAAATAATTTAACGGTCGTAATTAATCTCTCTTGATGATTCTAATCAGGAAATTAAGCAGCTTCACTGCAGACAAGAATGAAGCGTGAAATCGCATTATGAAAATATACAATCTATTTTTTACCAAAACCGTGGAATGAATCTTTTCGAAGATCACATTGCTATGGAAGGTTATTTTCGCTTGCAAACTTTGTTAAGAATAATGGAAAATTGATCAGCAAAAAAAGGATGTTGTATCCTAATGATAAATTGCTCAATGTTTCTAAAAGGACACTATAGCAAGATATACCAAGAAACCGAAGACGTGCAGGTGAAATAGTGTTAGGCAAAAGGAATGTTGATGACAGAATAATGTAGCAATACAATAATGTAATAATATCCATGATTATTATTATTATTATTAATTAGGAAGGGAAACTACTACAGGTTGTGGAAATCAGACGTCTGAGGAGGGTTTTTGGAAATAATTGCATTTTTATCGGATATATCTGATATCAAACTTTCCTATCTTACTGTCGGCATGCCACCAAATGAGTGTAAATATACCTACTGCGATTAATTGATCTGCAAAATTAAATTTCTTTAAATTCTTTTTCACAGTGAAAAGTAAGGTTTTCTCTCAATTTTCTTTTGAGCATTAGTGTCTCACCTAATATGTATTTGGTATCATTCAGTTTGCTTTTCTGACTTATAACAGCATGTAAAGCTTATAAGCTTCTATCGTCTAATGCGGGATCACGCTGATATTGTTTTATTCGAAGTTCCACAGGGTATTTAGTTCTAGTCAAATTATGTCACTTCGATTATTGTTCATCAAAGAATAATATGGCTTTTGTGACATGTGATCAAGTTTTTGAAACATTAAGAAACACTTGGCACTGATAGTGATGAGTAAGGTGCTTAACGATGAGTGCCAGTGGAATTCCTTTAAG